TACTCCTCTTATTTAGATGTCTCTGGGAAAACTGCTTTAAATCAAGCTTATTACAACTTGGAGGACTTACAGTCAACAACTGGACAGAAGAATGTACTCACCTTGTTATGGTATCAGTTAAAGTTACCATTAAAACAATGTGTGCACTTGTTTGTGAGTGTCCGATTGTAAAGCTAGAATATTTTACTGAATCATTTAAAGCAGTTCAGTCCAAGAAACAGCCTCCACAAATTGAAAGTTTTTACTCACCTGTTGATGAACCAGCCATTGGAGGTAAAAATATTGATCTGTCAGGACAACAGGAAAGAAAACAAATCTTCAAAGAGAAAACATTTGTATTTTTAAATGCCAAACAGCATAAGAAATTACATTTAGCAATTGTTTTTGGAGGTGGAGAAGCTAGGTTGATAACCGAAGAAAATGAAGAAGATAGTTTTTTTTCAACTCCTGGAACTTGTGTTGTTGACATAGGAATAACAAATACACAGATCTTAATTCCCGACTCCTAGAAAAAAATAGATTCACTCAATTTTGGATATACTCCAAAGGCAGGGTCTTAGATCTATTCCTGAAGCAGAAATTGGATTGGCAGTTATTTTCATGACTACAGAGAATTTTTGTGATCCTCAGGGCCAGCCCAGCACAGGATTAAAGACAAAGGCTCCAGAGCCAAGCCTTTCACAAGACTGGTCAGTCAGTGAAAAACTCATGTGAAGTGTTCCTGAGAACACTGCAACATATGTTGCTGACACAGAATCGGACCAGGCACATACATATATGTATTTGACTGAAAAGCCAAAATAAATAAAAATCTCCAAAATGGAACAAAAATGTGGATCATCTTCACAAGAAATAACCATTACAAAAAAAGGCCCCAAAACAAACTCCAATAATAACATAGCATCAAATACTCTGGTTAGGGCAAATATCCAAAACTATCAGCTTTCACCAACTAAGTTCCCAAGTGTAAATAAAAGTAGAGATCACACTTCTCAGCAGCAACAGACAAATACCATTAGAAACTACTTTCAGTCATCTCCCCCCAAAAGGGAAAGGGATGAAGAAAACCAAGAAATGTCTTCATCTAAATCAGTGAGAATAGAAATATCTTGTTCTCTTTTAGAACAAACACAACCTGCTATAACCTCACTATGGAAAAACAAAGAGCAAAATCTATCTCAGAATGAACCTATGGAAACAAAATCAGAAAGCTTATTTACAGATGATGAAGATTTAAAATCCAGTGTGAAAAACTGACAGTAAATCTGTTTCTACAGAAAGTCTAAGATCAAAAAAATAGAAAAGAAATTGATTTGGCCATAGAAGATCAACTATTGGAGCAGTTTTTTTTTTTTGTACTGGGGATCAAACTCAGCACCTTGTGCTTTCAAGGCAGGCACTGGAACCACTGAGCTAAATCTCCAGCCCTTGGAGCAGTTATTCAAGAACACGAGACCAGAGTTAGAAATTGAAGTGAAAGTTGAAAAACAAGATGTCAACATTAGAAAAAAGCCAAGCTTGGATACAGAAACAAATAACAATTTTGATGATAAAATAATACCAAAAAGTGACAAAATACCTCAAGAAAGTGAAGATGGGAAGAAATGTGAGCTCAAGAAAGAATCACCATGGTCAACTAAAGAAGTATCTAATAATGATGAACTTCAGGACAGCAGTGAGATGCTTCCAAAAAAGTTGTTCATGACTGAATTTAGATCACTGGTAGTTAATAACTCCACTTACAGAAATCTATGTGGGGTAAATAATGATCATGGTCATTAACTAAAAAATTTCAAGAAATTCGAAAAGGTCACATTTCCTGGAGCAGGTAAACTTCTGCACATCATTGGAGGATCAGATCTAATAGCTCATCATGCTGGAAAGAATGCAGAATTAGGAGACTGGTTGAGACAGGAAATGGAGGTACAAAAGCAACATGCAAAGAAGAGTCTCTTGCTGATGATCTCTTTAGGTATAATCCTAATGTTAGTAGGAGAAGATAATTGAGAACTTTAAAAAGAAATTATGAGCTACCGCCTGCCTCAAAAGCACAAGGTCCCAAGTTCAATCCCTGGTACAAAAAAAAAAAGAAAGAAAGAAAATTATGAAAACAAGCTTCCCAGCAAGCATTTACTTCAGGCTGAGATACATGAAAACAGTGTATGAAAGAGATTTAAGTTTTTGAGGCCTAAATTTGTTAAATAAAATGCACAAAACTCTAAAAAAAATAAATTAACTTAAATACAAACAGCTCTATGCAAGAGGAGACCCAGGAGGCAGCCTGACAGGCATCTCCCTCCCGTGGGGTGATGTCTCAGAAGTCCAATCAGAGTGCATCCATCCTACAACACCCTATAACCACCCAGGTGACTGCAGGAACTTGTGGACTTGATACACCTCCTTACAGGGATGCTTCTGTCACAATCTTTCTCTACACACACTTACTATTTATACCATTTACTCAGCAGAGGCCTCACACACCCCCACAGGGCTCCTTCATCATCTGGTTCCACTTCAATTTTCCATCACAGTGAAAGGTTTAGTAACTTTAGGACAGTCCTCTTCTGCCTTACCCAGGGCTTTAATCTCCCAAAACAACAACAACTTCTTTTTCCTCTCCTCCTCCTCCTCCCCCTCCCCCTCCTCCTCCTCCTCCTCCTTCTCCTCTTCCCTTTCCTCTTCCTCTTCTTTTTTTCCCCCAAAACTTCTTGTGGGGCCAATTCATGTTGAAAATGTAATCACTGTTAATTCCAAAGACAAAGCATTTTATATGTTCCCTGAGTTGCCAAAGTGATGCCAAGCCATGCTAAAATAGCAAGTCTTATTAGTACAGACACAGCCACATCAATAATGAATGTTGCCTATCACAAACACAAACTAATTTCCTCTTTATTAGTTATGACTAAATTACATTAGTGCTCTAACATAGGCATATACTTCCTGTTTCTCATCTTTTATGCACTGTACATATAAGACTAGATTTATAACAAAACATACACTAAAAATGATACCCAGGTCAGTTGCACACAGCTATAATCTTAGCACTCTAGGAGACTGAGACAGGAGGATTACAAGTTTGAGCCTACCCTGGGCAATTTAGTGACTTAGTGAGATTCCATCTTAAAATAAACAATTTTAGGGGGCTGGGGATTTACCTCAGTGGTTTTGCCGCCTGCTGCGCAAGCACAAGGACCTGAGTTTGATCCCCGATACCAAAAAAATAAAAAATAAACATAAAAAATTTAAAAAGGGCTGAGGGGTAGCTCAGCACAAAGGCCCTGGGTTCAATCCCCAGTACTGGAAAAAAGAAAAAAAGAAGAAAAGAAGAAAGATATTCTATGTATGTATGTATGTATGTATGCACTACTGGTTACTGAACCCAGGGCCTTTGCACAGAAGTATATCCCTGGCCTTTTTTTTTTTCTTTTTAAACATGGTCTCACCATGTAGTTCAGGCTGATATTGAACTCACTGTGTAGCCCAGGCTGGCCTTGAACTCTCGGTGATCCTCCTGCCTCAGCCTCCCGAGTGCTGGCAGCCTTTTTGATTTTTCAGACAGGTTCTAAGTAAGTTGCTAAATTGCCCAGGTTATGTCCAAACTAGCAATCCTCAGCCTTCCATAGTGCTGAGATTACAGGTATGTACCACTACACCCAGTTTTATATCTACCTATCTATATAATTATTATTGTTGTTATTTTTTGAGAAAACATCTCACTATATAGCCCAGGCTGGCCTTGTTCATAATCCTTCTGCCTTAGCCTTTCAAGTGATAGGGTTACAGGCATGCACCATAATACCCCATGAAACCCAATTCTTTTTGAAACCCAATGTTTTTATAATTTAATTTGCATGTGCATGCATATGTGTGCGTGCGTGCATGCATGCATGCCTGTGTGTGACAAGGAACTGACCCCAAGGCTTTTGCACTGAGCTACATCCCTTGCTCCTCATCTTCTCCTACCCTTTCTTCTTTCCCTCCTTCTTCTTCTCCTTCACCTTTTTTTTATTTTGAGACAGTCTGTTGCTAACTCTCTAAATTGCCCAGGTTGAGTTCAAACTTTTGATCCTCCTGCCTCAGCCTGTCAGAGTGCTGGGATTATAGGCATGCATCACCATCCCCAGTTTATTGGTTTTTTGTTTTTTAGAGAAGACTATGATAGCCCTTCTAATTCACAGGAGATATATTCCAAGACCCCAAGTGATGCCTAAAAACTTAAGATAGTACCAAACTCCATATTTAGTGTACCGTATCTTTTCCTTTTTAAAAATTTTTATTAGTCTTGGGCTGGGGATTTAGCTCAGTGGTTCCGATGCCTGCCTAGCAAGTGCAAGTTCCTGAGTTCGATCCCCAGTACTAAAAAAAAAAATTTATTAGTCTATGTTTGCAGTACATAATGATTACAGTCTTCATGGGACCTGGCATGTGTACATAATACATCTTAATTCGTTTTACATCCCTTTTCCCTATCCTCCCTTCCCCCATGTCTTTTCCTATACGTATATACCTATGACAAAGTTTGATTTATAAATTAGATGCAGTAGCCAGGCATGGTGGCAAACACCTGTGATCCCAGCACTTGGAAGGCTGACGCAAGATTTCCGTAAGTTTGAGGGCAGCCTAGGCTGCAATAGTGCATTCAAGGCTAGGCTGAACTATGTAGTGAAAATAAAATCAAATATAAATCAATCAATAAGACACTGTAAGGGATTAACCATAACTAATAAAATAGAATATAACAATATATTACAATAACACTCATGTGATTGGGCCAGGGATTTAGCTCAGTGGTTTTGCCACCTGCTGCGCAAGCGCAACGACCCGAGTTCGATCCCTGGTACAAAAAAAAAAAAAACAACCTCATGTGATTGTAGTTAAAATACCTTACTGTACTTTTATCTTTTCACTTAAAGGAAGCACTTTACAGGTGCTATTTGGCACCCGTACTACTCTAGTGTTTTGGAGCCATTCTTAAGTAAAACTACAGTTACTTTCTGTTTCAGCTGCTGATGTCATCTAGTGGGGTCACTTTCCTGGGCCCTGTACTCCAGCCTGAGGCAAAAAGAAAAACCCAAAGAGGTTGGTAAATAGCTACATCTCCCAGGGCCCTGTAGGCCACATGAAGGAATTTAGGCCTGATCACAGAGCTGTTAAGGAGCCCTAAAGCATTTTAGGGAGATCAGATCACTTGGGCTGCAGTGAGAACCGTAATTCTAGAAGTTTTGACAGGAAGGAAACAGTGAGATAAGGCTTTAGTCACAGAATATGGGATCAAGGGAAAGACTTTTTTTTTTTAAAGCAAAAGACAGCTATCATTTAAATTCACCCTCCTGCAAAGTTCATTTGCTGGAAACTTAATCTTCATTGCAAACCAGCATTGGAAGACAGGGCCTAATAAGAAATGATGAGGTCAAAGAGCTCTGCCTTTGAGAATGCATTAATGTCATTACTGCAGGAGTGGTTAGTTATCTCAAGAGTGGGCTTGTTGTAAAAGCAATGCTGGACTCCTTTCTGCTTTCTGTCATGATGCAGCATGCTAGCCCTCTCCAGATGAGACCTCTCAGACTTGGACTTCCCAGCCTTCAGACTGTAAGAAAGAAATCCATTAAAAAAAATAAATTACCAACCTCAAGTATTCTGTTACAGCAATACAAAACAAGCTAAGACAATGGGTGAAACTAGAATTTGCTTGACTACTTGCAGAAGTATCCAATATTGCAAAGGGATTATGGGAGATCCCTGAGAATTAGGAAGGGAAATTTGAGCATTATGAAAAGTTTCACTTTTAAGAAAAAGCTTCATACAATAAAATTGACTTTATATGACAAGTCTGTGGATTTTTATACATGTATAAATTCATTTTATACCACTAAAATCAGGATTTAGAATTCCATCACCCCAAAGCCCTCCCATCCTTTTTGTGTTTGTTTTTTGAGACAGGATCTCCCTATGTAGCCCAGGCTGGCCTTGAACTCTCAGTGATCCTCCTGGATGCTGGGATTACAGGCATGCACCACCATCCTCAGCTGTATGATCCTTTTAAAGATTTAAGCCTAATAAAGTCACTCCTCTGCTCAAAACTCTCCAGTGGCTTTAGTGGTAACTGGCAATTGTGGCATGGCTGACAAAACCCTGCATCATTAGGCCCTAGCTGTCTCTCTAACCTTGTCTCCTACCATTCTCCCCCTTACTTGCTTTGTGTCAGCTATAGGGGTCTCCTTGCTATTCCTATGTTGTGTCAAGCATGTGCCTGCCTCAGAGTATTTAAATTTTCAGTATCCTCTGCTAGAACCTTCTTTCTCTAGACATCCACATGGTATACTCTATCTAGTCAAATCCAGTGTCTATGTAAGTGTTCCTTAACGAGTTCTCCAACATCTAAAACAGCAGCTATTCGACAGCACTGTATAATCCCTGCCTTACTTTCTTCTTTCATAGTCCATATCCCTGACACTATTTGTTTTTCTGTCTCCCTAAACTAGTAAATTTCCTCAGGGGCAGTTTTGTCCACTGATCAATTTACATTGAGACGAGTGCTTGGTCTGGAATACACTGGGAGTTCATTGAATATACTGCATAATTTTTTAGGAGGGAACGACAGGATGAGAACATATGTAAGTATATTTCTAGATTTCAGGCCAGTTTACATTTTGTTACTTATACGGTAAGGTAATCAAGGGAAATGATATTGAAGTGTAGGGTTAGATTTGCAGCAATAGTGGCAAGCAAATTGAATGGAATACAATGAAGTCAGTATCTGTTTAAGGTTGATAACTAGTTTAGTAATGCCAATCTGTTTGGCAGGACAGTTTTCTACAAGGTATAAGCATGGAGAAATTTGGAGGTCCAGCCAGAGTGGAGGTATTATTTGGAGAAAAGGGACTGTTGTGGGATTGTGAGTAAAAGCAGGGTTGTAATGATATGCCATCGAATCTAAAATGTGTAGGAAGGGAAGTTAAGAGTGGACGGGGTGAACCAAGATGCATTATGTAAAGGTACAATTCCCAATGAGAAATGTAATTGTGTTGTATACCTACAATGTACCAATATAAGAATTTAATACAAAAAAATGTAATTTGGAGAATAAAACAGTTTAACTACCAAAAAAAAAAAAAGAGTGGACGGGGTTAGTGGCTGAGAAAATTAGAGGCTTTCAGCAGATTGAAAGTTATGATAAAGTGAAAGAACAGTTATGCTGTTATGCTGTTTTAAGCAGTTACACTGCGAGGATAGAAGGCCGATTGGGCCAAGGGATGTTTGAATTAGTGATTCGTGACGCTACAGTGTTTTGGGTGACAAGGTCTAGGTTTTGATTGGGATTGGGAGGATCGCTATAGATGAGGCCCAGTGTGAAATGGGCTGTCGACCTACATTCTGAAATGACCAAGATGGTCAAAGGGGAGAAAGTAAGACAAACTGCTGCACGCGCAAATCGACAACTACTGTATTCACTACAGAGGTGGTCAAATGGGCGGCAAACTCTTAAGAGGAAGCGTTGGAGAGAAGTAAGCGTGTGTCCAACGGGTGACAGTATCTGATGGACAGCTCCCACCTCTAGGACCTGGAAGTGAGAATATTAACTCAGGTGAGGGGTCCCAGGGGTTGCAGGATCATCAGGAGACAGTCAGGTCTCGTTCAAGGATTGAAATCTGGTCTAAAAGAGGGAAAGCTTAAGAAAGACCCGTTTGAAGAAGTGGAGACCGAAGCAGCAGGAAACTCTAACATCTCTTTGTCCTTTATTAACCTTCCTCCCAGCCTACCCTAACTGGACAGCAAGCTCTGCAACAAGAAAACACTTGGAAAGCAGTACCCAGCCCGGCTCTTTTCAACTCCGCGCGGAAGGGCTCCCACCGGAACTTCTCCGGGTCCGCGCTCTCCCATTGGTTGAAGGTTCGCCCGCTTCCACTTGCTTCCGGTTACGACCCCCGTAGGGCGGGGGCGTCCAAAGGAGTCACTTCCGCCTTGCCCCCCCCCCCCCGCCCACCCCCACCCATTCCCTTTTTAGTCGCTTCCGGCCTTAGGCCCCGCCCCACCCATGGGCCCCGCCCCCACCCTTCTCCCGCCCCGGCCGGTGGCCCGGCCCCACCGCGCCGCTTCCGGTGTGGGCCCCGCCCCGGCTGTGGCCCCCGGCGGCGGCGGAGCAGTCGGAGACGCGGCTGCGGCCTGGGGCCTGAGCGGCCATCTAGTCCACGGCTGGCGGCCCGAGCCTCACAGGTGAGCCGGCGGCGCCCGCTCTCGCAGGTGGCGGTTGAGGGTGAGGGAGGCAGGTGTGCGACGGAGCGGGGACGCCTGGCCCGGAGGAGAGAGAGAAAGAGGTCGGGGCCTGGGGCTGAGGGGAGCCCGGCTTGGCGGAGGGAAGGTGACGGGGCTGCTTGGGGAGGGCCCAGAACGGAGGACTCGGGGTGGGCGCGAGCGGGCGGGCAGAAGCTGCGCAGGCGGGCTTCGCTGGCTCCCGGGTCCGGACAGGGGGTTGGGGGAGGGGCCGCGCGGGAGGGCGAGGAGCTGCAGGTTCCTGAGACCCGAGCTCTTCGAGTGCAGGCAGGTGGCATTGTTAGGATCCCTGCTGCCAGGGGACGGGGGAAGATGGGGTCTGGGGGAGAAAGTGTGTCGAGTTGTAGAACTGAGTTATCTCAGTTCCCGGGACTGTACACCATGAAGATGGTGCCACAGGATAAGTGACGGGCAGAGTTTGGTTGAGGAATTATTTCAGTTGTAATTGATCCTGATGATTATAAGGACATATTTCAGTGGTCAGTTGTTGAGATTATTCTTTTGTTTAGTTTTCTTTGACCCAGATTGTTTTGGTTTATTATTACTTTTTACTTTAAGTGAACACTTTTGTCAACTGGATTTAATATGGGCGCAAATTTTTTCATGCTTTGTACACTGTAAGAAAAGCTAAAACAGAATGAAAGCATTGCTGCAGGCCTAACTTACATTTTCTAAAGTGCCAAGAGAGGAAGTAAAGGAAGTCAGAGGCAAATTGGAATTTGAATCTTTCACAGAATTCAGAAGGCATAACCAGCACTTCTAAGATAATAAGAAAATGAGAATTTTTTACCTTTTTTTCCGCCTAGCTTTAAAAAGTGTACCTTTTTTACTCCAATCTGTAAAAAATTCATAAATCCAAGCCATTTTTATTGCTAGGGTGTGATTACTTCCCCATGAATTTTTGAAGATGCTGAAGATTTTTTTTTTAATCTTCCAACCCAGTTCTAAAACACTGAAACAATGCAAATATCATGTCCCAACCTGTGCAATACAGCTGGTTCTTTCATGTGAAGACAAAATTACACACCATGTTGCAGGCCCTGTTCACCCTAAAATTTGTCCTTGCATAGTAATCCATTCAGTATGGAGACTTGCTGAGAAAACAACTCAAGGGAGGTTTGTTGGGGGTGGGAGCTTAGAAAGGAAGAAGGGGGGGTTAGAGGTAGAGAGGGTGTGAAAGGGGTGTTTGGAGACCGACTGTTAAGAATGCAGATAAACCTGCCCCCAGAATGCTTTTGGCCTGAAAGTCTTTTTCTGTAGAAGTGAATCACAAAGAAAAGAGTTGCTAGATTTATTTGGCCATATATTAAAAAAATGTATTAACTTATTTAGACAATATTGATACCTGTTTCAAATTAATTAACTTTAAAATCTCCTGAGGAATTTGCTCCTGTTTGTTTTTGAACAAGGATTGCAATTTGAGACTCCTGCCTCCTTTTGTGTTTTTTTTTCTTTCATGTTGTTGAAATTGGATTCTTTTTGAGACTGTAATGTCCAGTTAGCCAGGTTCAGTCCATTTCACCAGCAGGCTGGCAATTTGATCTGGCAAATTTGCAAACTTTAAACTCAAGAGCAGTGTGCTTGGTCTTGCTTTTTCTGTAAGAGAAGTCATGCTGTCTGCCTGATGCTTCTGTCTAGCTTGGATGGTAATTTTTCTCTGATGGGCCTGGGAACATAAGGGATATTCTTTCTTTTGTAAGCAGGCTTTTCTTTCCCTTTATTATGGTGGTTTTCGTAGTTACAACCCCCAGTACAGTACAAACACAGTTGCCTTTTCAGCAGTAAACAGGAATGTTTGATAATGTCGAGGGAGAGAGATCAGAACACAGATGTTGTCAGATTAAATAGCTGCTGGATTTGTTTCTTTTAAAACCCTCAGTAGTCTACTACTACTGAAATTTACCCCGCTGTTTCCCTTCTTAGATCTTGTTCCTTCATTTACTCCCCCTCCCCAGGCTCCAACACTTGTGTTGAACCCAGATTTAGGAGCACATGTTTAGTGGTCAGAGCTATGGCCCTTTACTGGAGAAATGAAAACCTTTTATACCTGTTTCATGTAGTTTTTTTTCCCCTTCCCCCTCCTTTGTGGTTTTGGTTAATCACTTAAAGTGTAGAGCCAGCCTGCCAGCTAGGCCGTGCCCTGGTCCAGAGCCATGCCAATCTGTGAGTGAGACTCACAGCAGTGATGGAGCCGATGCAGCAACAGCAACAGAAGCAGTCACATCTGGCTCCTCTGCAGATGGATGCCCGAGAGAAGCAGGGACAGCCGATGAAAGAAGCCCAGTTCCTATATCCCCAAAAGCTAGTCACACAGCCTACTCTTCTTTCTGCCACACCTGGAAGACCTGCCAGCAGCCCTGCCCTGGGTCCCTTAGCCAGAGTTTCACCAGCCACACCAGTGGCCCGAGTTTTTGAACGGAGCAACGTGAACTCAGAGCCTGAGGAAGAGGAAGGAGGTTTGGAAGATGAGGATGGGGATGATGATGTTGCAGAGGTGGCTGAAAAAGAGGCCCAGGCTGCTTCCAAGTATTTTCACGTGCAGAAAGCAGCTCGCCAAGACCCCCGAGCAGCACCCATGTCCAGTCTGCTTCCAGCACCAGGGCTCCCCCAACATGGACAACAAACTAAAGAAGACCTTACCAAAGATGCTTCCAAGGGTCCACCTTCTGTTTCCATGGCTGGGCAGCCAACCTGGAATCCGGAGGAGCAGCTTAAACAGGTGAGTGTTTCTGCCGTGGGAGGCTGTTTGTTCTTCCTCAAGAGAGGGTACTGGATGGTCAGGAGCAGGGACTGTGCAAATCTGGGCCTCCTTGCCCTACTTCACTGACCCACATCCAAGACATGAATAGACTTTGAATTTTTTTCTCACCTTTGTTTTCTTGGGCTGGAGCTGCAGTTTATTGGTAGCATGTATGCTTAGTATGGCCAAGGCCCTAAGTCAGTGGTGGCAAACCAATGGCATGCTTGCCCCAGCTGGCTGTTTGTTATCATTGAAAGCTCTAAAAGATTGGCATCACTCCCTAGATTCTGTCCCCACCATACACACATAAATGTTTGTTTTCTTGAGTAAAGCAGTGGAATGCATAAATTAGTCTTTATGTAGATTGTCTCAAATTTGATGTGAAAGAATGTCAGCACCCCCTCTTTTTCAAAGGAAGGATGAGTTTGCTGCAATGTCACGAGGACTATCTAAAAATGGGATAGTTGACTGTCATTAATTTTTCTGATAATAACATAAAAGAACAGACTTGCCCAAACATTTTCTAGTTGCAGGCTAATGCAGGACAATGCCCTTTAAGGACAATTTATTGTATTGTAGCTGAACATAGCTGACAAGAAGCACTTGTATCACATACTTTTCCCAAGAAAGAGCCTTGTGTACATTATTTCATTTCACCTTTATATCATCTGCTTAGAAAGAAGGATAGACCACACAATTCCTTTTTAGCTGCAGAAAGCTGAAATGACTTCTAAGCATAGCTGAGTATCATCAGTCAGCTATGAGGCTTTTTAAAAAGGCAGACTGCAGAGTCCTAATGAATGATCTTGGAGTGGATCCTTTGATTTGTGGCCCTTTTCTGTGTGGCCTGCACTGCAGTTTTCCTCACTTAGAATGAGAGTGATAATAAGTTGTGCCAGGGTGAGTGGCTTGTTGGTTTGGGCAGTTCGTGAGAAAGCCATTAGTATGTGGGTACTGTGGGCACGCTCCATGTGACCCAGTGATGCTGTTTAGAAATCACTAATTAGGAGCTATGGGCTTACAAGGGGCCACTGAAATCATGTAACAAAAGTCCTTTGGAACCTGAAAAATAAAGCAGCTTTGGATCAAGAAGCACTATACAGTTGCCCCAAGTTTTACAATGGCAGTGTTGGCGTTAGTGTTGGCGTTAGAGTCTGCGGTAGGAAATGGGTCTCGACACATTCCACCCCTTCCATATCTTACCCTTGAAATCTTTTTTGTGGCACTGAGTTGCTGTGCCCTGTGTTTTCCCATCTGTAGAGTTAAAATAACAAAGATGCCTCAGGGATGTTGGGATTAATGAACTAGGCCACACAAATATCTGCTCAGTGCCAGGCACTCGGTACCCAATGGTGCTGCAGGATGTTTGATATAAACAGTGCCATCCTGCATCCACACCAGCGTGCTACTAAAAGTGCAGAGGGTTTCCTCATATCACCCAGGGAGACAGCAGCAGACCTAGGACTAAAATCAGAAGCCTGACTTCCACAACAGCGGCTCCCTGGCCTCCAGCCCAGACCCGCCTCCCAGCTGATGGCTTTGGTTTAGCAAAACATCTGTGAGTTGCTGGCAGCCCCCTGTGCGGCTGTGTGGTTGGCAGAGTTCCATGCCGGCCGCTGAGTCAGCTCGTAGTGGGATCCCGCCCTGACAGTGCTGGGAAAGTTCAGGCCCCAGGCGACTGGCTGCCCCCGCCTTGGCAGCTGGCCAGCCTCTGCATGTGTGCGGTCGTTCCTAGAAAGTGCAGCCTCGTGCACGGAACAAGTGCGCTCCAGAGCCTGTCTGTCTTCAGGAAGTGCAGCAGGTGTTGAGGTCAGGCCATTAGAGCTTCGATAAAAGAGGCTCTTCATAACTGGCGTGTGTGTGCACACACATGTGCGGCACTGCAGGGCTTTGAGCCCCAGGTTGTAGATGGCAGCGGCCCAGGGCTGCACAGCTCAGTGTTGGAGTGGCTGGCTGTTGGCATTGGAAGCTCTTTTGAGTTCATTTCAGTTTCTGAGGCTCACTTGCTAATTACAGACTGGCTGGCAGAGGACCTGCCAAAATATTTACATAGATGCCACAGTAGCTGAGGCTGATCCCACCCTGAATTTACCTTACCCCTAAACTGAGAGGTCAGGAACCAAGTCAGGGGGGCATTCATTGGGTAACAGTGAACAGTGACTTGTGTGCCTCTTGTGGATTCACTTTTACAAAATTGATTTAGTGTGTGTTCTTCCTCTAATCTGGCTTTTAAAGGAGTAAATATATGTGCTTGAGGGTTACAAAATTGTTTTTTAGTTGTGCTTTGGAAGGAGGACTAAAAAGCAGTATTTATGGGAGAGCCTACAGAAACCATATACACTATGAAACTATTTTTATTGCTCAGTCTTTTCTGTGTGTAATTAACTTCTGGAGAGCAGAAATAGCCCTGCACCCTCAACAATTCAAAGGCCTCTCACAGTTGATACAAGATTTTGCTGTTAATGTGTTACAGTGTCCATTTTGTTCTTTTAAACAAGGAACTTGCAGAGAGGCTCTCTGAGGTGCTCTGCGACCTCAAGGCAGATTGAGGCTGGGTACCAATAACATGACTTTGTCCTGTGTCTGCTGAAGCCCAGCCCCCAGTCTGTGCTGTTGTGCAGGGGTTTTTTTGTTTGTTTGTTTGTTTGTTTTGGTACCGGGCATCGAACTTGGGTCCTTGAGCTTGCAGGGCAGGCAGCGGAACCACTGAGCTAAATCCCCGGCCCTACTGTGCAGTTTTAAAAAAATGTTTATTTTTATTAGTACATGTTTGTAGTACATAATGATTAATTCTTTATGAGGTTGGTACATGTATTTTTTTAAAAACATAAAGCAAATGTTCATTGAAAGTTCAGTATACTACTACTACATTAGAAAATGGCTAAAATGAAAATACCAAGTATATTTTTAAATTCCAAACAAATAGAATTTGTCTAGTTCTCTTTTTTACTCATTTCTTCATTTCATTGACGTAAAGACATGGATCTGTTAGGGTCAATTTTTACAAAAGTTTTGAGACTATTTGGTTTTTTTGGAGACAGGGTCTCACTATGTAGTTCGGACTGGGCTTAAATTCACTATGCAGCAGGTAAATTGAATTTGAACTTTATTTTATTTTATTTTATTTTTTATTTTTTGGTACCGGGGATCGAACTCGGGACCTTGCGCTTGCCAGGCAGGCCCTGGTACCACTGAGCTAAATCCCTGGGCCTGAATTTGAACTTTAAAAAAAAAATTAGGCAGTGACATTCTAACCATGCTTTGTATTATATATATTATATATTATATTTTGTCAGATACTACCTTCAATTCCTTTAATTTGTATTAACCTGGAATTTTTCTCATATTTTGAAATTTAGTTCCTTTGAATATTTATGTTTTAGTTATCACTTTTAAAGAGCATCTTCTCAGTTAACCTTGCTAAAGTAATATTATATAATAACATGAAAATTCAGTGATGCTCAGTATTAAGTGTTTTATTTCCAGTTCATGCACATACTGACACGCTATTGATTGGACCAGCTGTGCTGGATGGCTTCCACCTGAAGGTTCAATTTGGGTCAGATCCATGCGTCTCATGTGCTAGAACAGGGAAGCACTCCCAGAATGCTTCCTCCAGAGAGGCAGAGGCACTGTGGGGACATAGTAGCGCATGCTGCTTTGTCTAGGCTTTGAATAAGCACAGAGCTGAATTTTGAAAATGTGTTTTCATGATCTTTAAGCATTATCTAGAGTATTTAATCTCCTTATTGTTGTAATTATTAGTTGAGTTATTTTACCCTTATTTTGTGATTTATAGTCTTCTTGATAGGCCAGGCATGGTGGCACATACCTGTAGCCCCAGCTCGTGGGAGGCTGAGGCAAGAGGATTGCCACAAGTTCAAGGCCAGCCTGGGCAACATAAGGAGACCCTGTCTTAAAAGAAAAAAAAAGGGGCCGGGGATTTAGCTCAGTGGTATCGCTGCCTGCTGCGCAAGTGCAAGGACCCGAGTTCGATCTCTGGTACCAAAAAAAAGAAAAAAGAAAAAAAAAAGTATATTTTTCTTGATAGTTCATTTGTGCTGTCTGTAATAAAATAGCTGAGACTAGATGATTGATATGGAAGAAAATTCATTTTTTTCAGGCTAGGAAGTCTACGATCGAGGCCCAGTCATCATGTGGTGAAGGCCTTCTTATGGCATCACACATGATAGAAGAGCAGCGCTTCTGTTAAGGCCCCAATTCCAACTATGAGGGGCCCCCTTCATGACTTAATCACAGCCCAGGGCCCCAGCTCTTAACACTTTAGTACCATGTGGCCATTAAATTTCAGTGCTTTGATTTCAGAGACAGCACTTGCCATATTTGTGTTGTTATTTTCTTTTTGAATTCATTTTTTTCCATTCACTTATGTTTACCTATCTTAAAAATTATATACTTTAATGGTTACAAAAGTGATTTTAATATACATCATTTATAATATCTAGAGTCACAAATATTCTTCCCCAAAATACACTCTAATTCCAAACATCTATTCTTGATTTATATCATGTGCTAGAGTATATATGTATGTATTTTAGTTCTCTTTTTAAACTATAAAAAATTATGTTCAGTAAATTTTCATTTGAATATATCTACACATTTACCACTTTTTTCTCATTATTTCTTTGTATATTAGACTTCTGGATATTTTCACACACACCCCTTTTTGCTGCAGATATTTTAAAATGGGATTTTATTTCAAACATGCACATACCAAAGTGAAAAGTTTGTATTATATATATTTCAAACATGAACATACCAAAGTGAAAAGTTATTTTTTTCTTACAGCATAGCATAGCTTCAGAAACCAACAGGAGTACTCAAAGTATTTGGCAAAATTCGGTGGAGATTGGAGGTTGGCAGATATCTGCCACCTTGAAAAGCAAGGCTGGAAAAGCTTAAGGATACCAGAGATCATCCTTTGATTCTGAAATCCCTCTCAGAATATATAAAGTCAA